AGAAGAATTTTTTTTAAAAACTTGACCGTCCCTGGGCTTCGAACCCAGGACCCCTCCCTCCTGCAGCGAACTTGCTTGTCTGGTGGCCTACCTTCCAGTCCACGGCGATATGTGAAGTCTGCCACAGTTTCGCTTCAAAAGCTCTTTCCTCTCATCTTCGAAATATACCTTTAGGGGTCCACTGTGACCCCCCTAATATGCCTATAAAAATTCTTTTCAGCAGCCTTGTTTTGACCATAGTCCGCTACTTAGGGTCCGAGTTTCAAAATTATACCTTGATATTAAAGGGTGCTAGGGGATCTTGAAATTTGAACCTTTCTCGAGCAGTTTTATTTTTTTATTCTTTTTTTTTATTATTATTCCATTATGGTGGTGGTGACTATGGCTACGAGGTTCGATGTGTGGGGTAACTGTTTAAAACATGTTTTGGTTCGAGTCAGCGAGAAAATGGCAATCTTTTTTTCCCGGGCTATTGAGTTAGCCCTAGAGTGAAGATAAATGCCTTCGCGTTCGAAACATTGTTTAAAACGTTCGACCCCCCTTTTTTTTTAACTTGTTCTTAAAAGTTTTCATTTCTGAAAGGTTTTTAAATTATTTATAGTAAGTTTCTATTTTACATGTTTTAACTTTCTTCCTTTAACTCCCCCCCCCCTGCATAGATAACCTGAACTGTTAATTAAATTAATTACAGAAAGTTAATAAGTTTAAGCGTTTCACTTTTATCAGAAAATTAAACTTATAAGAAAAGTTGGCTGCTTTAAAAAAAATGTGTTAATTTAGAAATTAATCCATTTGAAGATCAATTTACATTCATGTTAAATTGAGTAAATAGTGAGAAACTAGCGTGAAATTAAGAAGAAATATTTAAAAAAAAAATCTTCGTTACGTTACCCTTAATGCCAGAATATGTTTACCATATCTGTGCTTAAAAATATAATAGAATATCTGTGCATAATAGAATATCTGTGCTTAAAAATAAAAATATCTGTGCATTTCTGTGCTTAAAAAATAGCAACTGATAATGGTAAAGAGTCTTAAATATTGAAAAAAACTATTCACGCGAATGTGAAAAAAAAATCCTTGAATCTGATTACATAAGTCTCCAACTGGCAGATGAGTCCGGCAATCTGGTAAACCTCCTTTATAATCTATCATCGAGGATCCCTTCCATGTTATACTTGTTTCCACAGAAGCAGATGGTCTTTGTCGCGAGGGGAGTTCTTACGATAGACAAACTATACTTGATGTTGGAACTTGTCTTCTGAAATACGCACTTATTGGATTTAAACAGACACATAACCTGTCGTACTTTTACGAGTTTCAGAATTTCGGGCATAATCACAATAGGCAACTAATTCTCCATTAATAACATTTTAACACTTATAGTCCCTTTCCAAATTATTAGACGCCCTATAAGATTCTATATAAAATCTTAATTATCAGGTGATACTATACAGCTGTATTGTTTTTACTCGATTTTCACTAGTTTATGTTCGTGTATCAATGGGTTAAATTAGACGATATATAATATAAATTAGACGAGTGGATAAATTAGACGATATATAATAGAGGAGAAGGTGTAAAAATGGGCACAGGTGTAAATATGGGCACCCCTCCCTAGTGACTATGGGAAATACTGAAGACTGGCGGCGAGGACTGCCGATGGAGCCATTTGCTAATATAAGATAGTAGAGAACAGTTTGAACCATTCTTTCAAGTAGTGTGGATGCAGCGTGAGTTATTTGTGCAAATTTGTGTTTATTCTGGGTTGCAAACTTTTGAGAGGCATGTGAAATAGTTTTCTTTTCATGTACTTATGTTCAGTTAAAAATAATTTCACAGTGATATCCAGAAACCGGAGATCTTAAGCAACTTTTTGAAGCACACCTTTAGTCATGCATGTTTTTAGGTTACATGTGATAGTGGCCATCTTTTATAAGTGGGATTGGTGTAAATATGGGCCCCCATTTAAAGAGTTCTCATAATTACACCACCTTTTTTTAAACAACAAAAAAAATTTCAGTAAATTTTTACGCGAAACAGCAAGACCCAGAATAAACATGACCGAAGTTCTAATGAGAGGATTTCCTGATGGTGCAATTGGTAGAGTCCATCATTCAGGATGGGTTCAAAACAATTTGTTTTCCGAATGGTTCACTCACTTCATTCATTCCTACTGAACAAAGGACTGTTCTACTCATCTTAGATGGTCGAAATCCAGACGTCATTGACTTGGCCAGAGTTAACCACGTGAAACTCCTTCAGAAGAGAACCACTATTCGTGGACGCAAAGCAGCAAGATCCAGTCTCATCACCATACAAGGATCAGTTGACCAAGTCGCTTGACAAAAGTGCTCTCAAGAAGACGTCCTTGAGTTTTCCCGGGGTAAGAGACCGTCTAGGGGGCAGGGGTGGGAAGAAGAAAGGCCTTCAAAAAAGGAAATGCAACGATACGATTCATCGTCGGACTGTTCTCTGAAGACACTCGGGAAGAGGTGTGGATGAAATGGGGCGAAATGTCGGCACACTTAGATTGTGCCGGGGCTGAAAGAACCAGTTATGTTTGCGATTTCTGCAAATAATTTTTTTTCCTGTAATAAATAAATTCTCTACCATTTTGTATTGTNTTTACATAATTTGCAATTAGTAACAATTATGTTGACACTGTCATTTAACTAAAATTATGAATTTTGAAACTAATATGATTTTTCAAAATGCAAGCGAAGCTTAAGTGTTCCTTCACTGGTTAGTTTACCCTACTTCCTATTTGTATATATTTTTAACGTATTGCATTATAATGTTAACCCATTGATACAGGAGCTTAAACAAATGCAAACCGGTTTTATCCGAGTATAAACAATACAGCTGTATAGTATCACCTGCTAATTATAATTTTACATAGAATCTTATAGTCCGTCTAATAGCACTGTATTAGATGCACTATAAGATTCTATGCACACACTGCAAGGGACTGTATTTTAGGTATCTTAAAAATTTTTTTTGCATTTGTGTTTTTTTTCTTAGATGGATTTTCAACATTCTCTGCTACTGTTATTTACCGCAAAAGTTATATCTGGTCTTGTTCTCGATGAAAGATATAGAAGACTACCAACTATTTCTTTGTATGGACAATTCATTTTTTCAAGATCTTCTGATTTATTACTTTGCATTACAGGTCCGGCTTCTTACCATACAGGGTCCACTGGCATAAAATTGTTTTAAGACCCGTATAACTTGTCATAATGTTTCAAAACGAACCAAAAATCCTCACATATATAAAATAAATTATGCAATAATTTAAAAAAAAATTTAACTAATTTTGATAATCCCAAAATCTTAAGTGGTCATTTTTAAACTACGCATAATTTAAAAAAAAAAAAAAATTGATATGCTAGCCAGTTGTAAGCCTCAAATATTAAAATAGTTTTCAAAACCATGAAAGTTCATTAATATAACTAAATTAATTAAACATAATTAAATTTTTAAAAAAAATCACAAGGTATGAATTATTTTGTCAAATTAAACAGTTATTAAAATATCTTTCAATGGCCAAGCACCTAAAATTTTCTTTGGAATGCTGAAAAATAAATTTCGGTTGCCTTTTTAAGTTTTCTTGGTGATAAGCTATTCAAATTATTGGTGTCTGCATGATAATCAATCTCTATTTGTAGAAAAAATGCACACTTTATACAATGGAATATATTTATTCAAAAAAATATATAAGGTAATTTTGTTTATTCTTAGCTTTTTTTAAATACAATTTATAAAAAATAAGATTCTTAAAGGGTTCCCTGAAAGAAAGCCTGAAAGAAAGGTTGCCCATGCAAAAAAAAGACGGTACTGTTGCATTACCATTGGAGTATTGGTTGATTTTGCAACTTGTATTCTGAATATTTTTGTAATAGTATTTGATTTGCATAAGGGTATTAATGATTTTTTTAAATCTTACTTCAACTGTTTTTAAAATCTATTTCCTAAAATAAATTTGTTTTTCTCATGATGTCATCTCCTTTGGTAAGTTTTAAATGAAACTAACAAGCTCCAATAAAACGGCTAGTTGAATGAATTGCAGCAGAAATATGTCTCTATTCAAGCCACTTTTGAACAAATTTTCTTCAAACCTTTGTTTAACAACAAAATCAGTCAAAACTTTCAATTAAGATTTTAATTGGACGATTTTAAGTTTTTGAAGCACATTATTCAGTTTATTATTGTGATTTTGCTGATTTTCAAAAAGGTGGTCCCTTTTTACCAGCTCTTAACCGCTTCCCTAATTATCCTGAGTTAACTCGGGTATGTATATTTTGTCCCGAGATAACTCGGGTATGTATATTTTGTCCCGAGATAACTCGGATATGTATATTTTGTCCCGAGATAACTCAGGTATGTATATTTTGTCCCGAGTTAACTCGGGTATGTATATTTTTTCCCGAGATAACTCGGGTTTAGCAGAATTTGTCACTGTTTTATCACGTTTTTACTCGGTTTCAAGCAAAATAATAATGTACTTTGATTGGAAGTTTGCCGAGTTATGTTTGCCAAGTTTTGCTGTTGGATTGTGGGACTGCACACGTGTTCTGTGCTATTTTATATACGGTGGTGGCAGAATTTTATATAAGAAAAAAGGGTAAAATAATGGCGTATCACTCCACTGGTGTTTGGAAAGTATCTCATTGTGCTGTTCCTTGTTTGAAAAACTATCATACAAAGACTAATATTTAAATTTTTCCCCCTTGATAACTCGGGATAGTAAACTGACGATAAATTAAAAAAAAAAATTTATACATACAAAATTTAAATTTAAACTTAAAACTTGTGTATATTAGGTTTCGTTTTAGTTACTTGTATTTATTAATGAAATAAAAAATATGCAAGTTTGCAATATGCAATTTTTGGAAAAAAAATACAAATTTTTTTTTTCTTCAAAAATTTTTTTATGGGAAGCATTTAACATTATCGGAATTGTGTTATAATTTTCCTTAAAAAAAGAATAATTTCACTTTTTCAATATTTACAACATTATTTATACATTATTTACAATTTTTCGTCACACTTTTATATTTGATGAAAGTGCAACTGGCAAGGAGCCATGCACAACAACAACTGAGGGAGGTCAGGCCTAGGCTGTAGAAGGCACCAGAATAGCAACCCTTCATGTCTCGAAAGTATCCTAGGGAGATGAAGAAAAAAAACATTACATTTATTATTATCCGACACATTTTAAAAAATGAAAAGTTGTGTATGTAACGGTTGCTCTAAAAAAGAACCTTAGCACTCTTGTAAATATATTACCGAATTTTCAAATACAAAGATCCGAATTGTTCATTTTCAGACGGTTTTCAGAAATACTGAAATGCGAATTATCTTCAGAATTTGTGTATTATTCTTGTTATGTGGAGTTCCTAATGGTTGAATCAAGTTATAATCCGTTTCTATATTGATAATGGTAATAGTGAAATATTTTTTTAAATTTATTATCATGTGTCATCTATAATATTTGGAAAGCAGTAAGCTGTTTGCAATCATAATAGCATGAATGATTTTAATTCGTGATAGATGGCATAAAAATTTAGATACTAAAAATGTTAGTTGGTTTTTGTAAATAGTCCATTCTTTTTGTTCTTTTCGAATACTGTCTGATTTCTTAACTCATATTACACAGCTTAATTAGCATTTCGTAACTCGTCTGCACTTTCGGAATTTTGCAACTCATTTGAATAACTTAAATAACATTTCGTAATTTACCTTAACATCTCAATTAGCATTTCGTAACTCATTCAAATACCTTCATTAGAATTTCGTAACTCCTCTGCAGATCTTAATTTTCAAATGTTATTAAATTCAGCCAGTTAGAGGTAACTTCGAAATGCACTAAATATGATTTGTAAACTAAAGAAACAAAAACGCGAATAAAGCATATTTGTAAGTACAAACAAGGACTAGTCTATACAATATACTCTCGATATCTAAAAGTTGAAAGGAGGCTAAAAAAATGTTTGAGATAGCGAGTCTTCGAAATAGCAAGTTCAGAACAAAATATGTTCCAAAGAGTGAAAAAATATACTGTAAAATATAACTCTAAAAAGTAGTGTCATAACACACAATTTAATATAATAAATATTCATGTAATGATAGTCGACAATAAATCTAAATACAACAATTATAATTTTATTTTTAAAAGTAAGACGAAAATAATTATGTTGTTGTTGTTAATTTACGTCGCACTAGAGCTGCACAATGGGCTATTGGCGACGGTCTGGGAAACATCCTGGAGGATGATCCGAAGACATGCCATCGCAATTTTTGATCCTCTGCGGAGGGGGTGGCACCCCCGCTTCGGTAGCCCGACGACCTGCGAGCACTTTATAGTAGCACTGTTTAACGAGAACCAATACCGCACACCCTCGGTCCCTACGCAGACTGATCCAAGTGGTCACCCACCCGCACACTGACCGCAGCCAGCGATGCTTGATTTCGGTGATCTGCTGGGAACCGTGTCTTAACAATCAGTCCACTGCGGGACGAAAATAATTATGCATTAAATAAGTATATAGGTATTTATTTACATTGCACAATGGGCTATTGGCAACGGTCTGGGAAGCATCCCTGAGGATAATCCGAAGGCATGCCATCGCAATTTGGTTCTCTGCAGAGGGGATGGCACCCCTGCTTCGGTAGCCCGATGACCTGCTCGTGAAGTCGAGCACTTTATGGTAGAACAGTTTAACGAAGACCGATGCCACCCACCCTCGGTCCCTACGCAGGCTGATCAAAGTGGTCACCCACCCCGCTAACTGACAGCAGCCAGAGATGCTTGACTTCGGTGTTCTTCTGGAAACCGTGTCTTTACGATCAGTCCTCTGCGCGTCATATTAAATAGAAAAGAATTGGTATACAATAAATTTACATTGTGATTTTTTTTCCCGAAAAATTCGTTTCCTATTTCGAAAAAATATTCGACTTAACAAGGTTTTGAGAAGAAACCCTTCGACATAGGGATTCAAATTAACATGTAACATGAAGGAAGGAAGGATGTATTCATCCTTCCTTCCTTCCTCAATGGCACAACAGCCCCGGGTGGGCCCTGGCCTTCTCAATCAACTTCCTCAAGGCCTGTCTCTGCCTGGCAGTTGTCTTCCAGTTTGAGACTTTTAAGACTGAAAAGTCTCTTTCCACGCAGTCGGCCCAGGAATGTATTCATGCCAAGGGAAAAATATTTTTCGACATTTCGAGATATTAAGGTTCGAGATATCGAAGTTCGAGATATCGAGAGCGTAGTCATTGTCGAAATTATTAGAAGCACTATAAAATTCTATGTAAAATCTTGATAATCAAGAGATGCTATACAGCTTTATTGCTTTTAAGCGACTGAAACCGGTTTGTACTTGTTTACGTTCGTGTATCAATTGGTTAAGATAGACGATATAAATTTGACGATTGGATGAATTAGAATATATATTATATAAATATAGAATAATTATTATGTCAGGTATTATATCAGTATATTATAATCATTAGACCAAATTACTAGACCCACTGTAATGCTTTAATAATGACATGTTTCGCGCGAGTTCATAGGCAATACTTTTATAGTTAAACACACATGTAATCCGGAGATTTTTTTATACACTTCCTATTTGTATTTAATTTTTAACGTATAGCATTACAATACTAACCAATTGATACACAAACGCAAACCGGTTTTAGTCGTGTCAAAACGATGAAACTGTTAAGTATCACATGATAATTAAAATTTTACTTAAAAATTAATCTTATAGTGCATCTTTTGGATTTTCATACATAAGAGAGAATTACCAATTATCAATAAATGACCAATGAGAGAATTACCAATGATGAGGGGCACGAGAAGAACAGTTGGGGACGAGAGTATGTTGCTGGATGCTACAGCAACTGCTTGTTTCTTCTTTGGTATGAAGTGAGCAATGAGGAGAGGGAAAGTGATGATGATGCCAGATTCAAAGATCCCGCACACGGCCACTACAGAGAGAAGGGTTTGGAATCTTCTGCAATACGATATGCATATCTGGCTGCAGAACTGTCCAAAAAAGCAGAGGATGATGAAGTTATAACTGGCTGAGAAAGGGAAAAAAAATTAACTGCAAAAATAGTTTGTTCTTCAAAAACATATTCAATTTTTTTTTCAGTTTTCGTTCATTTAGGATGGGGCCCTATCTATATTGCTAAAGAAAGTTTTCCGTTTTGAGATTAGATATATACTAGCTTGATATTTTACCTTACAATGTGTGCGTTCCTTTCATTAAATGGGAAATTAATTCCTTAAAAAAAATTATTATCAGATATTTTTACAAGAAATATTTATTATCGCGCGTAACATTTTTGGAAAGACAAAAGGGTTGTTTTTGCTCCTTATGTGTTGAAATATTTAGTTGTAAAAACTAAAACTGTTTTAGCGTTGTTAGAATCTGATTCTTTTTTCTGAAGAAGAAGTTTAAGAATAAAATTCTTCGTTGTAATTGACTCCTGAAATGAAAGTCTTTAGCAGTCACCAAGTGTTTTATAACAACAGACCCAATTTTTGAGTTGACTACTAATTTTCAACTCCGCAGCCCTGAAATTTTAAACCCAATCCAGAAGACAAGGGAACTCCTGGATCAAGTATTCGGAAAAATTTGCCTTCGTGGAGGACTTTTTTGGTGGAACTCACCCGCATTTGCGTTACACGGAGAGGAAGACCACGAGAACCTCCCACGGTTAGCCTGACAGCAAGGGGACTCTAACCCATGATCCGTCTACCTCTGAGGATATTTCCAATCAGCACTGTGGTCGGTGCAAGCTGGATGCGGATTCGTATCGACCAGCCATCGCTGGGATTCGAGCCCGGTTCATCTCATTGAAAGGCGAATGCCCTATTCTTAGAGCCATCGCACCTCAAAAGAATCTATATTAACAAAGTGTTTAACTCAACTTTTTCTTGTCTCACCTTATACACATGTACGGTGAGAAAAATCTTTGAATAACTTTTATTTTAATGATCGGATTTTCGCAGAATAATCTAGATTTGTTCGAAGGATCGTCCTCAAATATGCCAATTAATTAGTGCTATTAATTATATAACGAAACTAAACGTACTGTAAATAGAACCTTTTTTTCGATGGATTTGGAATTTTGGCCTTTAAAATAGTGGAATAGCTACAATCTCGAAAAGATATATAATAGGATGAGGAGAGAGTATTAGATATGCTTCGGAAAATTTCAGTATTCAGTTATAAAGTTCGTTTATCCAGAGATAATTTATCGGTAAAAAACTAAACTAATTTTGTAATAACACTATTTATTATTCAATCAGTAAGGTTAGACAAAAATGTTGAGTTGTAAGCTATAAAAATTTGCGAAATTTTAAAATACAATATAAAAAATTGGAGGGAAATGATTCGAACAGTTATAAAATCGGTATTTTCTAATTCGAGATTTTTCGACTAGTAGTTATTGAAGTCATGGAAAATTATGTAGAATTATTTTTTCTCACTAGTTATCTTTGCGGGTAAAAGGGCAAAAAGTTTGAGATTCGCATTTAATCACAACAATTCTTGAGAGAATAATTATCCAAAATGTTTTGACTGTCACAATGTTTATTCAGACAAAGTACGTTTTCGTATCCGATTTCGTTACGTGATTGTGACCTTCAACACTTCCGGGAATTCTTTGAGTTTGCAGTTTTCTTGAAGGATGAAAGAGCAGAAAAAATAAGATGCCAAAGATTTTAATACAGTAATTATAACAAAAGAAAAAAAAACAATATTTTTTTTTGAAAAATTGATACCCAAGATATTATTTTTTGACAAAAAGCTTTGTTATAATATAATAAATGATTTCTTTTCTCTATACGCTTCCCTTTTTTTATTTTATTTTATAACCGTCGTTGAACAGCCTACCCAATCTTTGGGTTTACGACTACTAATGCTCAACGCCGTAGCCTTGTCATTTTGAACCCAATCCAGAAGACTAGAGCACTCCTGGATCAAGTATTGGGAGAAATTTTGGCTTCGTGGAGGACTTTTTTGATAGAACTAACGCTAACCAGCATTTGCGTTACATGGAGAGGAGGACCGCTCACGGTTAGCTTGACGGCAAAGGGACTCTAACCCATGATCCGTCTACGCTGCAGTCGGTGAAAGCCGGATGCGGATTCGTATCGACCAGCCATCGTTGGGATTCGAACCCAGTTCACCTCATCAGAAGGCGAACGCTCTATCTCCATAGCCAACACGCATAGCCACNGAAAAAGCTAAAAATTCACCACTTGAAAAAAAATTTAAGTGCTATTAAATTAGCTGAGGCAAAAATATATTACGTGGCTCAAAAGTTTGAATTATTTATTATAGTTTTCTCTTAATACAAACCTGAATACCGCGTTATCTTATGCTTCGCTAACCCGTCAGAGGATGACGTCACAAATCTACTGAGAGGCCTTCACTCTCGGTGGCTATGCATCACGTCTCCCTCTTTTTTGAAAGAGAAATGATTGTGATTTAAGGGGGTTAATTGAGTTTCTTCTTGACCTCCCACAAACCTCGAAAACCTCCCATAGTTTGCCCTGAGGGGGTCCTAACCCATGATCCATTTACCACTGAGGATACTTCAGGTTAGCTCTGCGGTCTGTGCGAGCCGGGTTTAGAATTCGTATCAACCAGCCATCGTAGGGGTTCAAACCTAGCTCAACTCATTGAGAGGCGCATGCCCGGTCTCCTGAGCCTCCGCGGCTCTGCGTTGATAGATTTTATTTTATTTAATAATCGTTGGACAGCTGACCCAATTCTGAGTTAACAACTACCAATGTTAAGCTCCATAGCCTTGCAATTTTGCATCCGACCAAGAAGACAAGGGAAGTTCTGGTTTAAGAATTGTGAAACATTTGCCTTTGTGAAGGACTTCTACACTCTTAAAAAGAAAAAGTGAATTGGGTATACTATAGCCTACGTCACAGGTTCTGTTATTCCTACTAAATTTAACCCATGAACGGCATTTTCTGCGAGCCTAACTTCAAGCCACAAATAAACAAACGAAGTGTTTGATCGTTTAAATAGCTGCTCGCCAGATTTTATTGCATTATAAAGAATAGTAATTGATATTCGATTTTTGATTAATAATTGATTTATGTGGATAGTGGCATTGAATTTAAGATTGCGTCATGGTAAATGTTATTCCTACTAAGTGGAAGTAGTTGTGTTTTTTTTATATTATACCCAATTCTCAAAAAAAGTGAAATTTTTTAAACTCAACTTGAATGGAATACTTGAGCGAAATACTTGCTTTGCGTACAATCAAACTTGAGTGGTAAATATTTAAGCAATAGAGTGGGTTTCGCTCAAGCATGAGTGAGTTATTTAACATTTAATTGAGTGTGAGATGTAAGCTGGAATTTGTATTGTTTTATTTTACAAAGCAAACGATAATACATCTCAATAAAATTGTCGAGCTATAAGCTGCAAGAAGCTTCAAAACTGATCGTCAGTCATCATCATCATAAATAAAATTGTTTTGTTCTACGATCAAAATAAATACGATTTAAATACGATCTTCGGTTTTATTTGAAGTTTAATTTTTGCTCAATATGTTTAAGCAAGAATTTTATAGCAAGTTTAATCAATGTTTTGAATCAAGAAGAAATAAAAGATCATTATTTCTGAAGAAACGCTGTTTTATTTTTTGGTAAGTAAATATACTTTGTTGTTCTAATAATATACTTTGTTGTTCTTTGTGTTTTAATGTTCTAACACATTCTAAATACTATAATTTAGAATGTGTTATATGCATTTTCCATTTAAATTAGCTGTTTTTCAGCGTTTGTAAATGAAATACTATTCAGTTAAATTATTTATCGAGACAAAGTTACAAAAATTGAAAGTGTTAAACGTGTATGATTATGGAATATTAAAAAAAACTGATTCCGTGCTAGAATCTCTGTCAAAGCATGTGGTGATTTATTGAATTTGCAAAAGTTTTTGGAATTTTTTCAGATCTCATATTAAAGTTTTAACTTTTTGTTTTAGTATAACCCAACTAAAAATAAACTGCAGTTTTTCAACAGAACTTAGGTAATTTTATAGTTTTTCTGGAATTAACTGCGAATATTCTGTAGTGCAATCTTAACTGTAAAAACACAGCAATTATTTTGCAGCTAATGTGAAGTAATTCATCAATAATTTATTTCGAAAACATTTCAGCTATTGCCTTCAAAATTACTGTAGTTTAAGTGAGGTCACTTTAAAATCATAAATTTATAAAAAACTGAAACTTTTAATCAGTGGTTATTCTGCTGTAAATTTGAAGTAATTATGCAGTCATTGTTTCAGAAGTATTTTTTCTGCTGAATCGGCAGAAAAAATACAGTTACTTTGTAATGTAAAATTGAAAGAGTTTGATGTCTTCGATCTTACTTTCCTGGTTGGTAAATCAGCTCTTTATAATGTTTATTTCTTTTCTTTCTTTCGTTTTTTTGATTATACATTAATTTCTTATGTTTAGGTAAAAATTCTAAACATATATATTGATAACGGAAATTACTTACACTGTTTATATTCATAAAAGTTCAAATTCATGAAAAACATACTTAATTCAATTGTAATTATTTATAATTCAAAGTCGTCAAAAACTTTTAAGTGCGATTTTAATACAATTTAATTAGTTTAAAATATGCCTAAAATTAGGTATTTAAATATTTCTGTATTTTAGTAATTTTATAACTAATTTTAATTTAATTAATTTTCATTATTTATTTATTATTTATTTATTTTTGGCTTAAGAAAACCACTTTTTCACAAGGTTTATGGTAAAAACAATATTAAAGTAAAGGTAAGTAGTCAATGTTAATTAGTTAATTTTTTTATTTGAATTCATACTAAGCAAGGATTATTGCAAAACAAAAATTATACTTATTTTGTCTAACCAAAACAAATATTTAGTTTGGATTTTAATCAAATTTATATCAAAAGAGTTTACAAATTGATATTTGGATATTTGATGGATATATAAAATGGATATTTAATCCAGATTTTTTAACTTCAAACCCCTCCTTCAAAAATTTATTAATTTCACTCTGTTTCAGAAATTTGTCTTCAATAAATTTAGATAATTTAAAGCAATATACCTTTTTTTTTTGCTTAAACATAAGGTTTTATAAATTAAACAAATTTTGTTTGAAAAAAAAATAACTCATAGTATTTTTAATTAAACCAAAATGAGCATTAGATTTATAAAACTGCTTACTTTAAAAATTCGTTAAGAGTTCCCTGCTTATAAAAATTAAACTTAGAAAAATAACAAAACTTAGGGGGAAAAAAACTCAAATCTACATTGTTAGAAATTTTTGGTAAAAAGCACTCTTAAATAATAATTCATTTAATTGCTATTTTCTCGTATACAATTAGGTAACCATAAATTGACGCTATTCAAACTGTTAACTCAGAAAATTCCTAACTAATTCATCTGAGCAAGATAATAGATCAAGTTTAAAAAAATTTTTATCAAAGAATTTTTCTTAGAAAAGAGTTAGTATTTTCTATCACTCACAATAGACGACACCTCTAAATACAGACATTTTGTATATTAACAGTAAAAATGTTGAAGTTGGTACTACTAAAAATTACTGCAGTTTACAAACTGGCAGTAATTTTCAAGTGTTTAAACTTCAAATATTCTGTAGCGGAATTGGCCAAATCAGCACAATCCTCAAACTGCATTCTTTTGTAGATTTTCTGCATTTCATTTATAGCTGGGAATATTTCAATATATTAAGGGATATTCCCTTTTCTATTGTTAACTGTTTTGCTGTCTCTCAATATGGAGTTTAATAACCAACGGAGTTTTTATGAAATCACCACTGAAACCATGTTGAGAGGTTACTGTCCTCAAAAACAAGATTGTCCTGCAGTTTTTGATTAGGAATCCTGAATAATAGGTTTTAATTCCGGATAATGCTACCTGTTCATGCCAACTTTCTCCATAAGATTAATATGCTTTATAGTGGAACAACAACAAATCAAGCATTGCCAATGTAATACTCGTGTTCTGTTATTCTTGTTCGGATAAGTGAGAACTTTTTCGTTTTAGCCACAATAATACAGATTGTATTCTTAGATTTATTTTATTAGCTTCTATATGCATTGAATAAAAGTTTATGTATGAGTTTACAGGCGAACAATTTTTAAAAAAAATACTGTCCTGAGAATACTTTTTCTCAAAAATAGTTAAGATTATTGTTTTGTTAGATTCAGATTATGCAGTTTCTAATTTGGTAACATAAAGTAAATTCGCTCTTTTAAAATATTTTTTGACTTTCAGCTAATTTGGTATTAGTTTTTTTGGTATGAAGTGAAAAACTCCTAATACGCACAGTCCCTGGCCAAGTTATTAGACGCATTATAAGATTTTATGTAAAACCTTAATTGCCAGGTGATACTATATAGCTTTATTGTTTTTATGTGACTGAAACTGGTTTGCACTTGTTTATGTTAGTGTATCAATTGGTTAAATTAGACGATATATAGTATAAATTTGACGATATGTTATATAAATATAGAATATTTATTATATCAAGCACTATATTAGTATATATTATACTAATTTGATCCAAGTGATTGACGCTCTGTAGTATTTTAATAATCACATGATTTGCACGAGTTTATATATGTTACTGACAAAGTATGAAATCCGGCATTGCATAGAATGCCTAAAACGAGTCGGCAAAGTATGAAATTATTTATATTTCACACATTGCCTAGGTATTATATATAATACCGGATGCTATTTAGGCAAAGTATGAAATAAACGTCCTGATGAGGCTATTATGTAAATGATGTGCATGTTACTGCGAATGACCGAAATCGGTGCTGTTGACTTTCACTGGTGAATGTTGACAATCACATAGTCGCTTTGGTGAATGTCCGAAATATTTATTACATCCGATTTGATATTAATTTATTTGTGGATATGATTACATTTACTCGATATTTTAATACTTACTGATGATAGATTAGAAGAAACATCAGTGTAGGGTACACCGGGCAATGGCACTTGACCTTAAAAAAACATCAGTGTAGGGTATACCGGGCAGACGCACTTGACCTTAAAAAACATCAGTGTATGGTATACCGGGCAAATGTATATCGGGCAGTGGCACTTAACTAGACCTAGCATATATTTCGGTCATTTACCAAAGGTCTAGTCATACTAGGTCTAGTTAAGTGCCACTGCCCGGTATACCCTACACTGTTTTTTAAGGTTCAGTGCCACTACTCGGTATACCCTACACTGCTATTTTTTTAAGGTCAAGTGCCATTGCCCGGTATATATTTGCCCGATACTCCAAACACTGAAGTTCCTTCTAATCTTACGTCAGTAAGTATTAAAATATCGTATAAATGTAATTATATCCACAAATAAATTAATATCAAATCTGATGTAATAAATATTTCGGACATTCACCAAAGCGACTATGTGATTGTCAACATTCACCGATGAAAGTCAACAACCACCGATTTCGGTAACCGATTCGCAGTAACGTGCACATCATTTACATAATAACCTCATCAGGACGTTTATTTCATACTTTGCCTAAATAGCATTTGTCATTCTATAGAATGCCTAGGCGTTATATACAATGCTTAGGGAAAGTGTATGTAATAATTCTCACATTTCATACTTTGCCTAAAAACATCCGGCATTCTATACAATGCCGGGGTTTCATACTCTGCCGCTAACATATACAATACATATAACATATGTAAACATACATGTAATGGGTTTTAATTCGGGAGATTTTTTATATACTTACAGACTATCTGTATTTGTTTTTAACGTATTGCACTACAATGTTAACTAATTGATACAGAAGCGTAAACCGGTTTCATCCGAGTAAGAACAATACAGGTGTATAGTATCAGCTGATAATTATAATTTTACATAGAATCTTATAGTGCATCAAATAATATGGACTGGGACTGTAGGTACTTTACTTACGTTGCACACATACATATATATCTATCTATATATATACTATATATATATATACAGTACCGCTTAAAAGTATCAGTACACCTAGAAACTTATAAAGAAATGGCAAAATTAAAAGTGTCATAACTTCTTTAAAAATGATCAAAAATGCTTCTGCTTTAGCTCATTTTGAAGCTTAAAATCTCTACTTTTATGTACTCTAATTGTATGTAATTAATATATTTTGCAACTATGTACAATTACACTCTAAACAATCATAGAAAATTGTATTAATTTTTTGTGAAGTTTGACGCGATGTACGGGCACAAAGGGGTTAGATATTGTTAATTTTTATTATACCATTGAAAAATTTGGACTTTTAGCTTTCATTTAAAAAAAAATTCCAAAAAAACATGTTTTTTGACGAAGTTATTGTCAAATAAAAAAAAA